ACACTAAACAATAATGCCGACATGATCATTCACACTGGAGAGAAGCCATTCACCTGCCCTTAGTGTGGAAAGAGTTTCACAATTAAAGGAAAACTTGAGATTCACATTAGAATTCAGGCTGGCGAGAAGCCATTTTTATGTGATCTTTGTGGAAAAAGTAGTGAACTACTGAAATTGGTAATGAAAGCTTCAAGACGCCTCCTGTTTGGAGAAACTAGTGGCATGTATTGCTCAGGTGTGATTATGGCCTATTCTTCCACGCAAACAGTCTTCAAATCTTGAAGGTTCTGTGGGCCTCTTCTATGAACTCTGATCTGTAGTTCTTTCCATAGATTTTCTATTGGATTCAAGTCATTTTCTATTGGATTCACAGATAGCTGGGCCATTCTAGCAGCTTCATTTTCTTTTTCTAAAACCAATAGAGTTTCCTTGGCTGTGTGCTTGGGATCATTGTCTCGCTGAAATGTCCACCCTCATTGCATCTTCATCATCCTGGTAGATGGCAGCAGATTTTTATCAAGAATGTCTCGGTACATTTTTCCATTCATCCTTCCTTCAATTATATGAATTTTGCCAGTGCCACACCATGATGTGCAGTGTCATTTGACCTCCAAACATGGTGTGTATTATGGCATCCAAAGAGTTTAATTTTGATCTCATCTGACCAGACTATATTCTCCCAATATTTCACAGGCTTGTCTAAATGTGGTGCAGCAAACTTTAAACAAGCTTCAACATGCTTTTTCTTCAGCAATGGAGTCTTGTGTGGTGAGTGTGTATACAGGTCATTGCGGTTGAGTGCATTACTTATTGTTTTCTTTGAAACAATTGTACATGCTAATTCCAGGTCTTTCTGAAACTCTCCACAAGTGGTCCTTGGCTCTTGGACAACTCTTCTGATAATTCTTTTCACTCCTCTGTCAGAAATCTTGCGACGAGCACTTGGTCATGGCCAGGTTATGGTGAAAATATGTTCTTTTCACTTCTGGATTATAGCCCCAACAGTGCTCATTGGAACATTCAGAAGTATAGAAATCCTTCTGTAACCAATGCCATCAGTATGTTTTGCAACAATCTAGCGTAGCATTAGTTCTGGCAGGTCACGTTAGTCAAGCTTGCATCAGCTGACTCTCAGCTGATCCCCATCTACCTATAGGAATACGACATCTATCTAAGCATTCATATATAAGGTTCCTCACCAATAAGGGACAGTGCCCAACATTATGAGGTGTAGTATATGTTTGTGATATGGTATGTAGGATGTTTGATGATACAATAATTTTGCCCCAATCTTTGCAGTGACTGGAAAGATACTGAAACATCAAGATAGATTTAGTGGAACTTAGAGATGTAATATGTTCTTTAAGTTACAAATTAAGGATTCAATTAAAATAGAAATGTGTTGAAAATCCATCGAAATGCTGGATTATTGAATATGAAAAACACTTATCCTTCATATAACAGCCCTTAATCCGTCCTTTGTGGACAAATTTGGGCACGAAGGTCTCAGGTGTGATCCCAATTTTTGTTTTTTGTTTAAATAAATGTCATATCACCATCTTCGATAAAATAAAATCTATCAATTTATGCAATTATTTGTGATTTTTTTTGGTGTGTTTTTTTTTATTTACCTCTAAAAGTACCATATTTTTTTATGTAAAATATGCTTACTTTATATTTAATATTGATTTTACTTCAGTAAAAACATAATTCCATTAAGTTCAGACAGCCAAACCCTAAAAATTTGGTGACTTTGGTGACATATGATGGTATAAAAATGTTGAAATATCAAACATTTCAATGCCACTGTTTGGCTGTAGTACTCAATGGCTTTGTGTGTGTGTGTGTGTTTGTGTGAGTGAGTGTTTGACACATTGAGAATGTTGTATAGGCTCAAACCTTCATTTCTGTGCATGTTTGATCTGCATTGTGTTGGATTTATTAATTTTATGACAAATAAAAAAAATGCTTTGAATTTTGGTATTTCCCATTAATTTCCAATGGGTGCCCATTTTTTTGGGCACGAAGGTCAAATTAAGGAGGGTTTTTTTCCAACCACTTAACATTGTTGAATCGAGTCCTCTTTTTTTGTCTGTGTGTGTGTGTGTGTGTGTGTGTGTTCAGGTGGCAAACTTATGAAAAGTAGCCAAGTCTTGAACCGCTCAGATTAAGTAAACTATTTTAAAAAAATTATAAAATAAAATGATTTTGCCCAAATTTGTCCCGAAGGAGGATTGAGGGTTAAATCAACTAAAATCTGTGGCCTGTTTACACCTGGTCATTTCATGTGTTTTCGCTGATCGGATATCTATCTGATTTGTTAAAACGTTTCCATTTACAGTTGGTCACATAAATGTGTTGTCGCAAAACGGATATAAATCCGATCTTCAATTTCCACGGTATATTTAAATTTAACGGCGTTCAAGTCAACGAAATCAAAAGATAAGCGCTGCATTTTATTAATTATCAGCTCATTTCAAGATCAAAGACCGCAATAGGAGAGCGCGCGGCATCTGCTCTGGAAGATAAGTTTGTCTTACTACTTTTAATGAAGATGATTGAAAGTAAGGCGTAGACGGTCAACACACAGTTTCATTTGCAGCAGTTTGCACGTCAGCTTGCTGAAGAGATGCTCAGCTACTCATCCACTGCGATGAGTGTTGCATAAGCGCTGTCATATCTGACTATAATGTCATATAGCCTATAACACGTTTATTATTTTAACATTTTGGGAGAAGTAAAATTTATACGTGGTTTCAACAACCAGATGCATTTACACTGGTCCAGTTTCGTCTGGAATGCGGCCCAGACCACCTCCTGAAGTGGTTTGAGCGATCGGATTTATATCCGTCTCGAATGCGTTTCGGAGGGATAGCTCCGGTTAGCTATCCGATCAGACAAAACGCATGAAGTGACCAGGTATAAACAGGCCCTAAGCAGTTAAATACTGATTAATAACTTGATTAATAGTCACTCAAAGAATTCTCTATTCTGCAAGCAGACTAGAGAACAAATATGTCTTATGACTTACACAGCTATGATTGCTCTTGGCCGTGAGAGCAAGCAGTGCTAAATGAGTAAACTCTAGGGGTGGGAGAAAAAAATACCTAACTATTGCGATTCTTTTTAAAATGATTTAAAAATCGATTGGTTTACCTCAGAATTGATTTATATTTCATTATTTTATTTTTCCTAAGAGGTGGTGGGGAGAAGTTAGCGGTTTTCAATTCCAACAAGAGGGCGAAATGTATAGGTGTGTTCGACTTGTAGCAGCACCGCGCAGATGATCAGCGGATGACATCAAAGTAATCACCTATGGTAAGTGTTGCCCCGAAGGGGCTGTATCCCCTATTGTATCTGTATGCTTTCTTCTTCTTTTTCCCAATGGGGGTCTATGGCAGCCCTAAGAACGGAACATAGGAAAATGATGAAAATTGGCACACTTGTAGTGATGGCCATGAATAGTGATCTGATTAACTTTGGGGTCTCTAGGACCAACTCTATAGCGCCACCAATAGTTCAAAAATTCAACATTGAAATGGTAATAACTCCTGAGCCCCTAATTATAGAAAAATGAAACTTAGTACACCTAATTACTCTCTTTATGCTGATCACATTCAATAGCTTACATTAAGACTCCGCCCATTACAGTAGCAGCCATTTTGAAAAGTACAGTATTCTGTCTTTACGCTACTCCTCCTTCTATATTGATCCAATTCTTCCCAAAAAAAAAAGCTATTAAGTTGTGAACTTAACAAGGTTGGCCCAAATTTGGTTCAGAGGCTGTATCTTGGCCAAACTTTGATCAATCGAAACAAAACTCGGTACACTTCATCAACACCATGATCTGAGGGTCCATGCCAAAGTTGGGCACAGCGCCACCTATGGGTCGTGAGATACCAAAAATTCGCGTTTTTGCTTATAACTTTTGAACAATTAGTAAGAAAATCATGATTTTACCAGTATCGGCTGAATCATGTGTCCGCCATTTTGAAATTTCTCATAAATTGCAATATCTTTTGAACCATTTGACACATCCGCACAAAATCGGTAGGGATCATCAACGGCATTTCCCAGAGGAACCTGAGATGCTGAGTTTGAACGCAGCGCCACCTAGTGTTCTAGAGATATAACAATTCTTGCAAAAACACTTAGAACTTTTGAAAATGTTGTCCAAATGATGTTGTTTTAATATAATTCCATTCCCTGGGTTATGCCAATTCTGACGATGTCTCATTTGTCATTTTCCATCAGTGTGTCTGTCCGCCATATTGAAGTAAACAAAAACAGTTTTGTTGTTCTACTCTTTCAAGTGTTGTCCAATTTTGACCATGTGATCTTTGGACCGAGCCGCACAGAAATGACTGAACAGATTTTTGATATTCACTACCGTTCCCGAGAAATACCTCTCCAAAGTAGACCGTGCCTGTGCTTGTTGATTTGTTGAATCAGTTGCCATTCATTCTAATGTGACTGTTCAACTATTAGGTTAACCATAAGGTTAGTATTAAGTTAGCATTTTAGACAGATTAGCATGCTAAGCTAAGTCATGCTTTTCTGAGCTCATTCTCACACCTAAACTTCTCTTCTGCAGCCTGTTGAATGTGTGTCAACTGAGTGGCGCACTCTGCTAAACCACTGGCAATGAAGACTTTCATGTTGTGGGTTCGAGTCCCGAGTGATAAAATGTTGTGTTATGTTGTTCGGTTTTCATTTGTTTATTATCCAGATTAGCATTGTACACATCTTTATTGCTCCTGGATTAGAAATGAATGTTTTTATCCATACTGTGTTCATTTTCATTTGAACTTCTGTTCATTCTCGCCAATAATTATTTTCAAGGCACTTCAGGGGACCTTTAAGTACTGTATGGCTTTCAAGCACTTTATACACCACTGATGCAAAGTAACATAGCACTTTATTTTATTTCATTTTTTCTACTCATTTTGTTGAACATTTGACTAATATTCATGTGCAAGTTCAGGGTTTTGGTACTTGAAAGTTTCATGGTTCAAGGTACTTTAAATATACACTGTGTATGTGTATGCTTCTGAAATAAAAGTTCAGAAAGATGTGAAGCATTGTTTTTGTTAATATGACTCATCATATACAGTCTATTTTAAGAGAGAACATACAAGAACTAGAGAGAGAAGAAATAAAATCACTCTACACCAAAAATGAACGACTTACTAACTTTTTCTACTACACACAGATTCAATATCTCAACTACACCAAATCAACCCTTGTACATCCAATTGGAGGGTCATAAATCAAAAAAAAGAAACACAAGTTTGGAACAACTTGAAGGTTAGTAAATGATGACCGTTTTCATTTTTGGGTGAACTATTGTGTTAAGACAAGTGAATGTCTCCTCTTCAGTGTGACACCTTGTGACTGTAAAAAAAAAATTTTTTTTAATTAAAATTAAAAAAGAAAAAAAAAAAAAAAAAATCTGAAACACTTTTCTCTGATGGCAAATGAAAGGCTTCCTTTGATGCAAGTTATTACATGATTCTTACATTGTTTCCTGTCCGAGAAACTCCTTCCACGCCAATGACATATAAAACTGTGATCTTGTGTGAGTCTTCATGTGGTTACTAAAGCATACTTTACTTCTGAAACCAGTTCCACACTGAGGGCACGTGAAAGACTGCTTTACAGTGTGAATTCTCATCATGTGCTTTTTAAGACTTCCTTTTTCAGTGAAACTACTTCCACACAGTTCGCAGGTGTAAGGTTTTTCTCTAGTGTGACTTCTACTGTGCTTTTTAAGGTTGGATTTATCAGTGAAACTTTTCCCACACTGAAGGCATGTGTAAGGCTTTTCTCCAGTGTGAATTTTCATGTGTTTGTCAAGATTTCCTTTTGAAGTAAAGCTCTTTCCACACTGTTGGCAGGTGTAAGGCTTTTCTCCAGAGTGGATTCTAACGTGCTGATTAAGGTGTCCTTTTTTACTGAAACTCTTTCCACACAGTTCGCAGGTGAAAGGTTTCTCTCCAGTGTGGATTCTGATGTGCGTTTTAAGGCCTGTTTTTTTAATGAAACTCTTCCCACACTGAGGGCATGTATAAGGCTTTTCTCCAGTTATGAAATCATGATGTTTCTCATGCTGAACTTTGTTTTCCATTCCATTCAGATCTTGGCTCTCCTCTTTCTGTGGCATCAGGCCTAAAGCAAAAAGAGACCAATACAAGTTAACTCCAAAAAGCAACAGACATTTAGATTTCTAGACATTTAGATTTGTATAGCTTTAAAACCAACCCTTTTATAATAAATACTACTTACTAAGCTACTGAAAGAGGTGTTGTCTGTAATCCTGTTCTCAATATTGTTAACTCTTTGCATTCTTTAGGAAATGCCCCAAATAAGCTGGCAGTTATCAAACCCCTTATGAAAAAGCTTGACTCAGAAGAACTGGTTAATTATAGACCGATCTCAAATTTGCCATTTTCATTAGAATCTTTTTTGGCACGCAATCATGGCTACATACATGCCTCAATGTGCTATATGTAGACCATGACATTCTCTTGGATAGCTTTAAAATTATGTTGGCATTTGTGAACAAGAATTAGCATGGTTTATGTCTCATATCTGACTGCTACCACTTTGTTTGTGTAAATAAAGAGATCTCATCAAACACAAGTATGGAGTGGCACAGGGCTCAGTATTAGGTCCTCTGCATTTTACGCTTGTATATGTTTCCTTTGATAGACAGTGGGTCTCATTTGATAAGCAAAAGTACATGCAAACTTGTGTGTAAAATCAGCGTACAAACATTTTCACAAACAAATCATAATTTGTCAAACACTTTAATACTACAATTTATTCTAATTTTACAAACAAATGTAGGAACAGACTGCCTGACTTTGCCACTTCATGTTAAGGTTTTTTATTTTTTGACCAACTCACTACATTAAAATTTGGTCAACCATGCCTCTTCTCACTGACTAATGTTTGGTCGACTACTGGGGGTAGCCCTACAGGTAAGGACACATTTGAAGCAGATCCACAACCTGAAGAACACCACGGATAAGCAAGTGCGAATTCACTGCTTTCCTTGGCCCGTATTCATGAAAAAGCAACTCTTTGCACTAAGAAAATTCTTAGAAATGTGGGTGTTCCCTCTTAAAATGAAAGGATCCTAGTAAAGAAAAAATTAATTCAGTAAGCATCTTAAACTTTAAAAAGAGGTCTTAAGGTCCAAAATTGTAGGAGTACAGACAAGGACTTTTAAGGGGCTTAAGAGTTTCTGTAGCAGCGAAGAAAATAGATGATAATTTCCACTGGCTCGGTACGGCTCAGTACGGTACGGCACGGCACGGCATGGCATGGTTTGCGTTTCCACTGCAGTTCAGTAACGCTTTAGAGTGGGCGGGATTATTCACATGTCATTATAGTTGCGCCGCCTCTACTACTACGACTCCTAAAAAAACTTCTTCATTCCGCATCACCTCATCAAGCTCTCGCTAACAAAACCTTTTGGTTGTTCAAAAAAGGTGCGCTCGTCGAAAACAGTTGCGTTCGATCCTTCGCTGGCTGTGCTGATTTAAATCTAGCGGTTCTTTTGTGTTTGTGTCACAAGTTCAGTGACGCAGGTAGTGGCGATTCTCTCCAGCCAATCCGTGATCAGCAGAGTTTACACGTCAGGTTTTGGTAACGGTACGGTTCACTTGGAACCCCAACTGAGGTGGTACTAAAAAAAAGTACCAGGTACTGTACCCAGTGGAAAACCCCCCAAAAAGTGAACCGTACCAAGCCGTACTAAATGAGCACACCTTTTTTTAACAACCAAATAGTTTTGTTGTCTGTTGCAGAAGAACAGACATTCCTCTCGTTGATAGCAGAGGAGCGGATCCAGCAAGAGCTTGATGGGGCGACATGGAATAAAAATGTTTTTTTAGGAGTCGTGGTAGTAGAGGCGAAGGATCAAACGCAAACTTTTTGAATGAGCGCATCTTTTTTTAACAACCAAAAAGTTTTGTTGTCTGTTGAGGAAGAACAGACGTTCCTCTCGTTGATAGCGGAGGAGCGGATAGCTTGATGGGGCGACGCGGAATGAAAAAGTTTTTTTAGGAGTCGAGGTAGTAGAGGCGGCGCAACTATAATGAGCCGAGTCGTACCACGCAGTGGAAAAGCACCATTAGATTGGTCCCGAATTGCTCTTAAGCTAAGACTCCTACGTATAAATTTTTGAGCTAAATTAGGAGCTTTTTAGAGGATTCTTAGAAGATTTAAGAATACGGGCCATAGTGTTTCTGTTCATGTTTTCTGTATAGCGGCTTTGAAACAATGCATGTTGTGAAAAATACTATTGTCCTGACTTAACTTGGCATCAACCAATTATTGTTTCTGATCTAGGGCTGTCAAAATGACTGAAAAATTAAATTCGAAATTTTCTACTTAAATATTATCAAAATTTGAATTATATTCGAGTGAAGTATTGCTTCATTTATTTTTAAGCTGAAATCTTTTGAAAAAGAAAGGAGGGAAAGCTGCAGGAGGGCAGAAAGTGTACAAAAACAGAACAAAATCGTTCAGCTTTGAGAATGAAAACCAACCTGTTTGTTCCTCAGTATCTTCATGTTTGTCTCTGAATGTTTCTTCAATCTTCATGTCTTCACTCTCCTCTTTAATAAACTCCATCTTTGTTGGTTCCTCAGTATCTTCATGTTTGTCTCTGAATGTTTCTTCAATCCTCATGTCTTCACTCTCCTCTTTAATAACCTCCATCTTTGTTTGTTCCTCAGTATCTTCATGTTTGACTCTGAATGCTTCTTCAATCTTCAGGTCTTCACTCTCCTCTTTAGTAAACTCCATCTTTGTTTGTTCCTCAGTATCTTCATGTTTGACTCTGAATGCTTCTTCAATCTTCACGTCTTCACTCTCCTCTTTAATAAACTCCATCTTTGTTTGTTCCTCAGTATCTTCATGTTTGACTCTGAATGCTTCTTCAATCTTCACGTCTTCACTCTCCTCTTTAATAAACTCCATCTTTATAATAGCGAGTCACGTGGATCTCAGCTTCAGCAGTTTTTCTGTGTTTATACACTTTGTCCTGTTTAAGATGAGAATAAACAGAAAAAAAACAAACTAAATCTCTGAGTGCGTCTCAATCAGCTCCCTAGTTCAGTAGTCAGCTCCCTAGTTCTGTAGTCAGCGCACTAGTTCTTCAGTCAGCGCACTAGTTCTGTAGTCAGCGCACTAGTTCTGTAGTCAGCTCACTAGTTCTGTAGTCAGCGCTAGTCAGCACTCTAGTTCAGTAGTCCAGTAGTCAGCTCCCTGGTTCTGTAGTCAGCGCACTAGTTCAGTAGTCAGCGCACTAGTTCAGTAGTCAGCGCCCTAGTTCTGTAGTCAGCGCACTAGTTCAGTAGAGTTCAGCAGTCAGCGCACTAGTTCTGTCGTCAGCGCACTAGTTAAGTAGTCAGCGCACAAGTTCTGTAGTCAGCGCACTAGTTCAGTAGTCAGCGCCCTAGTTCTGTAGTCAGCGCACTAGTTCAGTAGAGTTCAGCAGTCAGCGCACTAGTTCTGTCGTCAGCGCACTAGTTAAGTAGTCAGCGCACAAGTTCTGTAGTCAGCGCACTAGTTCAGTAGTCAGCGCCCTAGTTCTGTAGTCAGCGCACTAGTTCAGTAGAGTTCAGCAGTCAGCGCACTAGTTCTGTCGTCAGCGCACTAGTTAAGTAGTCAGCGCACAAGTTCTGTAGTCAGCGCACTAGTTCAGTAGTCAGCGCCCTAGTTCTGTAGTCAGCGCACTAGTTCAGTAGAGTTCAGCAGTCAGCGCACTAGTTCTGTCGTCAGCGCACTAGTTAAGTAGTCAGCGCACAAGTTCTGTAGTCAGCGCACTAGTTCAGTAGTCAGCGCCCTAGTTCTGTAGTCAGCGCACTAGTTCAGTAGAGTTCAGCAGTCAGCGCACTAGTTCTGTCGTCAGCGCACTAGTTAAGTAGTCAGCGCACAAGTTCTGTAGTCAGCGCACTAGTTCAGTAGTCAGCGCCCTAGTTCTGTAGTCAGCGCACTAGTTCAGTAGAGTTCAGCAGTCAGCGCACTAGTTCTGTCGTCAGCGCACTAGTTAAGTAGTCAGCGCACAAGTTCTGTAGTCAGCGCACTAGTTCAGTAGTCAGCGCCCTAGTTCTGTAGTCAGCGCACTAGTTCAGTAGAGTTCAGCAGTCAGCGCACTAGTTCTGTCGTCAGCGCACTAGTTAAGTAGTCAGCGCACAAGTTCTGTAGTCAGCGCACTAGTTCAGTAGTCAGCGCCCTAGTTCTGTAGTCAGCGCACTAGTTCAGTAGAGTTCAGCAGTCAGCGCACTAGTTCTGTCGTCAGCGCACTAGTTAAGTAGTCAGCGCACAAGTTCTGTAGTCAGCGCACTAGTTCAGTAGTCAGCGCCCTAGTTCTGTAGTCAGCGCACTAGTTCAGTAGAGTTCAGCAGTCAGCGCACTAGTTCTGTCGTCAGCGCACTAGTTAAGTAGTCAGCGCACAAGTTCTGTAGTCAGCGCACTAGTTCAGTAGTCAGCGCCCTAGTTCTGTAGTCAGCGCACTAGTTCAGTAGAGTTCAGCAGTCAGCGCACTAGTTCTGTCGTCAGCGCACTAGTTAAGTAGTCAGCGCACAAGTTCTGTAGTCAGCGCACTAGTTCAGTAGTCAGCGCCCTAGTTCTGTAGTCAGCGCACTAGTTCAGTAGAGTTCAGCAGTCAGCGCACTAGTTCTGTCGTCAGCGCACTAGTTAAGTAGTCAGCGCACAAGTTCTGTAGTCAGCGCACTAGTTCAGTAGTCAGCGCCCTAGTTCTGTAGTCAGCGCACTAGTTCAGTAGAGTTCAGCAGTCAGCGCACTAGTTCTGTCGTCAGCGCACTAGTTAAGTAGTCAGCGCACAAGTTCTGTAGTCAGCGCACTAGTTCAGTAGTCAGCGCCCTAGTTCTGTAGTCAGCGCACTAGTTCAGTAGAGTTCAGCAGTCAGCGCACTAGTTCTGTCGTCAGCGCACTAGTTAAGTAGTCAGCGCACAAGTTCTGTAGTCAGCGCACTAGTTCAGTAGTCAGCGCCCTAGTTCTGTAGTCAGCGCACTAGTTCAGTAGAGTTCAGCAGTCAGCGCACTAGTTCTGTCGTCAGCGCACTAGTTAAGTAGTCAGCGCACAAGTTCTGTAGTCAGCGCACTAGTTCAGTAGTCAGCGCCCTAGTTCTGTAGTCAGCGCACTAGTTCAGTAGAGTTCAGCAGTCAGCGCACTAGTTCTGTCGTCAGCGCACTAGTTAAGTAGTCAGCGCACAAGTTCTGTAGTCAGCGCACTAGTTCAGTAGTCAGCGCCCTAGTTCTGTAGTCAGCGCACTAGTTCAGTAGAGTTCAGCAGTCAGCGCACTAGTTCTGTCGTCAGCGCACTAGTTAAGTAGTCAGCGCACAAGTTCTGTAGTCAGCGCACTAGTTCAGTAGTCAGCGCCCTAGTTCTGTAGTCAGCGCACTAGTTCAGTAGAGTTCAGCAGTCAGCGCACTAGTTCTGTCGTCAGCGCACTAGTTAAGTAGTCAGCGCACAAGTTCTGTAGTCAGCGCACTAGTTCAGTAGTCAGCGCCCTAGTTCTGTAGTCAGCGCACTAGTTCAGTAGAGTTCAGCAGTCAGCGCACTAGTTCTGTCGTCAGCGCACTAGTTAAGTAGTCAGCGCACAAGTTCTGTAGTCAGCGCACTAGTTCAGTAGTCAGCGCCCTAGTTCTGTAGTCAGCGCACTAGTTCAGTAGAGTTCAGCAGTCAGCGCACTAGTTCTGTCGTCAGCGCACTAGTTAAGTAGTCAGCGCACAAGTTCTGTAGTCAGCGCACTAGTTCAGTAGTCAGCGCCCTAGTTCTGTAGTCAGCGCACTAGTTCAGTAGAGTTCAGCAGTCAGCGCACTAGTTCTGTCGTCAGCGCACTAGTTAAGTAGTCAGCGCACAAGTTCTGTAGTCAGCGCACTAGTTCAGTAGTCAGCGCCCTAGTTCTGTAGTCAGCGCACTAGTTCAGTAGAGTTCAGCAGTCAGCGCACTAGTTCTGTCGTCAGCGCACTAGTTAAGTAGTCAGCGCACAAGTTCTGTAGTCAGCGCACTAGTTCAGTAGTCAGCGCCCTAGTTCTGTAGTCAGCGCACTAGTTCAGTAGAGTTCAGCAGTCAGCGCACTAGTTCTGTCGTCAGCGCACTAGTTAAGTAGTCAGCGCACAAGTTCTGTAGTCAGCGCACTAGTTCAGTAGTCAGCGCCCTAGTTCTGTAGTCAGCGCACTAGTTCAGTAGAGTTCAGCAGTCAGCGCACTAGTTCTGTCGTCAGCGCACTAGTTAAGTAGTCAGCGCACAAGTTCTGTAGTCAGCGCACTAGTTCAGTAGTCAGCGCCCTAGTTCTGTAGTCAGCGCACTAGTTCAGTAGAGTTCAGCAGTCAGCGCACTAGTTCTGTAGTCAGCGCACTAGTTAAGTAGTCAGCGCACAAGTTCTGTAGTCAGCGCACTAGTTCAGTAGTCAGCTCCCTAGTTCTGTAGTCAGCGCACTAGTTCAGTAGTCAGCTCCCTAGTTCAGTAGTCAGCACACTAGTTTAGTAGTCAGCTCCCTAGTTCAATAGTCGGTGCACTAGTTCAGTAGTCAGCGCACTAGTTCAGTAGTCAGCTCCCTAATTCAGTAGTCAGCGCACTAGTTCAGTAGTCAGCGCACTAGTTCAGTAGTCAGCGCACTAGTTCAGTAGTCAGCGCACTAGTTCAGTAGTCAGCGCACTAGTTCAGTAGTCAGCGCACTAGTTCAGTAGTCAGCGCACTAGTTCAGTAGTCAGCGCACTAGTTCAGTAGTCAGCGCACTAGTTCAGTAGTCAGCGCACTAGTTCAGTAGTCAGCGCACTAGTTCAGTAGTCAGCGCACTAGTTCAGTAGTCAGCGCACTAGTTCAGTAGTCAGCGCACTAGTTCAGTAGTCAGCGCACTAGTTCAGTAGTCAGCGCACTAGTTCAGTAGTCAGCGCACTAGTTCAGTAGTCAGCGCACTAGTTCAGTAGTCAGCGCACTAGTTCAGTAGTCAGCGCACTAGTTCAGTAGTCAGCGCACTAGTTCAGTAGTCAGCGCACTAGTTCAGTAGTCAGCGCACTAGTTCAGTAGTCAGCGCACTAGTTCAGTAGTCAGCGCACTAGTTCAGTAGTCAGCTCCCTAGTTCTGTAGTCAGTGCACTAGTTCTGTAGTCAGCGCACTAGTTCTGTAGTCAGCGCACTAGTGAGGGAATCAGTGAGAAATAAAAACCACAAAAACTTTAACAATAAATAATAACTGAACAAGGAAATAGAAAATGTATATTGTTTGTAAAAGTTCATTACACGTTTGTGTTTGTTTGTTTTTGTTTTGAGCAGCAGGAATTGTGATTCGAGTGATTCAAAATAATTTGTGAAGCAATTGATTCGGTTCACTTGAAAAGATCCGCTTCTCCATCACTGAATGAGATCATCTTGATTCACTAAATAGGGCGCGAAATGAGATGCGCTTTACTCACGATAACGTTCATTGTCGTCAGATTAACTAATACAATGTTACATTCAAAAACTGTCAATTAACTTTACAAAGCTTGTAAAACCATAAAGTGCACTGACCGCGTTGTATCTATTTAAACACTTTAAATGATTGAA